GTTAATGATAAACTTGCTAAAAATTTTGCGCGTTCATGTTCGCTCATTGATGCTAAGAGAGCAGCTCTATTGGCTCGTGTAGTAACACTGGATGTGGTGTTGGTGGTGTAGGTTTTGTACTCAGTCTCTAGTTCTCGTCTCTCTGTTAATGGTAAACTTGCAAAATATTTTTCTCGTTCTTGCTCACTCATTGACGCTAAGAAAGTAATTTTGTTTGCTCGCAAAGTAGTACTGGATAATGTTGTAGTGTAGGTTCTGAGCTCGGTTTCTAATTCACGTCTTTGTGTTAATGATAAACTTGCTAAAAATTTTGCGCGTTCATGTTCGCTCATTGATGCTAAGAGAGCAGCTCTATTGGCTCGCGTAGTAACACTGGCTGTGGTGTTGGTGGTGTAGGTTTTGTACTCAGTCTCTAGTTCTCGTCTCTCTGCTAATGGTAAACTTGCAAAATATTTTTCTCGTTCTTGTCCACTCATTGACGCTAAGAAAGCAATTTTGTTGGCTCGCGAAGTAGTACTGGATGATGAGATTGTTGTGTAGGTCTCTGATCCTCCAGTTGTAGATGATGTAGCTGCTCCTGTTGTACCAGATGAAGATTTTGAATTTTTAGAAGCTATTGCAGCACCACCGATTACTCCTGCTGCCGCCGCGCCAGCGATTACCCCATACGAATTGTTTGACGATTTATTTGTTTCAGTTGCACCGCTACCAGTAGTAGGCTGGGTGGATGAGTAAGTAGTGGTTGATTTACTTCCCCCTCCGATTGTATTTGATCCACCGTTTGAAGTAGTAGTTGTGGCATTAGCCGATCCATACTCCGTAGTATCTCCTCCAGTGGTATTTTTCTTGTTATGAGATGCAAGTGCTCCACCAATTAATCCTGCACCAATTACTGCAGGTATACCAAATCTATCCGAGTTATTGTTGTTATTGCCAGACACTCCGTGTCCAGGACCTCCAACTTCATGTTCGGGACCAGAAGGTGGAACACTCATATACGGATTATCAGCTGGTGATCCCGGAATATTAGCATTATTAGATCCTTCGTCATTAGTTTTTGGTTTCGGTTTTCCCGAGAGAAAAGGCAAAACTGACCCTGCAGAAGGACCACCCGCTCCAGATGCCGGAGTATTAGCATTATTAGATCCTTCGTCATTAGTTTTTGGTTTACGTTTTGCCGAGAGAAAAGGCAAAACTGACCCTGCAGAAGGACCACCCGCTCCAGCTGCATCAACTGTTGGACTACCTAGCTTTTCATTGTCGCCCTCGTCGTCCGTATTGTTGTTGTAATCTTGCAAGTAATCTACATCGATCACATATTGTTTCAGGAATTTCTCGAGGTTATCGAGTCGATCTTTACATTTGACGGCTGGGTTCGGCAGGTCGACAAGTGGGACGCCGCTTGGATATTCGTTCTTAAGATCATCGCGGATTTGTTTTCTAAAGAATATTATTTGACAGCATCCCCATGGTAGAATAGAAGCCGCGCCTGTTTTCGGTTGTAATTAATGGTTTGATGTGTTATATTTTTTTGATTTTAGATAGTTAATAATTTGAAATGATATATTTACCGAAGCAGCAGACGTATATTCCAGCTATAAGTGCATAGAAGCCAGCAAGTAAACCAAGACAGTCCAAAAGCTATGTAAACATCACGAAGAAATATTAGAATTATACCAAGTATATAGAAAATTTTTTGATCATCTACTCACCGAACGACCCCTACGAAGATCAAGAGAAAATGCGCAATACAATCAATGATCG